GACTGGATGGGCTGCTTGCACCCCCTGCTGGTGCTGTACAAGGATCGTAAAGTCATAGGAATAGAAATAGCTAGAGTAGTGTCCTTGGAAACAGGAGTGGGCACACACACACACACCACACAGGACGATGCCCTGCATCGCTACATGCCGTACTGATACTCAAGATTTGGTTTGTGTGTGCTATCTTGGAACTGTGCTCCACCATGTCAACTAAAGCCATTTGCAGGTTTGGGACCAGGCCACATCTGAAGGGAACTGCTACTGGAAAATGGAAGGGTGCCACGCCAAACTGCACAGCACTCCTTCCTCTAGAGAGCAAATGCGATGTTGCTCCATATCCTCCGCGTAGTGCTGATAGATGCTATACAGTAGTATACACTTGGGCGCCGAAAGTTGCGCTTCTTGACTTCTAAAACGGGACAAACCCTTGTCCCCTTACATTCCTACGTGCAACATGTCGACGCCTAAGTTGCGGTCAGATTTCCACACCTGAAAGCCTTATAACTTATAAGCATTATCAATTTAAAGGGTGTGGAAATTATTTGAAATCTGACCGTGCTGTACCTGCCAGACAAAATGGACGTGTCAATCCGACCCGCTGTAGACTGCAAGTGTCATGTTGGAAACAGAGTAAGAAGCGTAAACTTTAGGGTTCTTGAAGGGTGCCTTTTGTGTTTTCAGAAGGTGCTGGACATGTACATGTGTAATTATGTGTCATATTCCAATATTTGTTCTTAACCTTATAGCAGGACAACATTTATGACAACATTTCTCAGTATTACTTTTTAAACACAAGGCTAATACCTATAACACCGGGGTGCCGAAAGTTACGCTTCTTGACTTCTAAAACGGCCCTTAGAGTCCTACGTGCAACATGTCGACACCTAAGTTGCGGTCAGATTTCCACACCTGAAAGCCTTATGAGTATTATAAATTTAAGCGGGTGTGGAAATCTGACCGTGCTGTACCTGCCAGGCAAAATGGACGTGTCAATCCGATCCGCTGTAGACCGCAAGTGTCATGTTGGAACAGAGTAAGAAGCGTAAACTTTAGTAGGGTTCTTGAAGTATGTGACCATGTATAGAAATACTATGATTAAGTATAATTTGCAGCATGATAACATGGTACGGTGATATTATATCCTTTTCATTCGTGCTGTTTTGTGACATGCTTGATAGATTTTGACAGTTTACTGTATTCCAGCACATGCTAGGACCCTTGCAAAGCAACCGCAGTTTGGAAGCATTCATCGAAGAGCATGCAAATGCTGTCGAACAGCATTTGGTTGTTAATGTTGTTATATGTCTTTATATACCTTTCCTTTCTGGACATGTCGAGCGCCAACTAGTCATCTGTGATGCCAACGAGTATATGAAGGAATGCTGGGGCAAGATTTTCCAGAGTTGCGCAGCAGCGGCGCGAAAACACCAGCAAAAAGCAGTTTGGATTTTTGTCATTGCCCGGTCTGACTTCAATCCAACCAGCGATGCTGCATGGCATTGGATCCCAGCATGGGCTTCAATCCAGCTTACCAAGGAAATCTTCCATGCATGCGAGGACAAGGCGAACTCGATGGATGAGTCGAGGCACGTGTTACCGCCATGGTTTTGGACCGCAATTCATTTGTTGGAACATGTTGGAACGTTTCATCTACCATACAGTTGGGGATCGTTGGGATTGTTCCTCGACTGGGCTTGCCGGGAACAATGAGCAGAATGGGTGCTAAGCTCACATGTACTCATGTTTTATATGTCTATCGTTTTTTTAAACAAGAAAATGATTCTCTCAATCAAACCCATATGTGTGGCCATTTTCTAGTGAGCTACCTCTCCTCTAGAACATGGTTACGGTTAGGTACCACCTTTGAGGTTGTACCCCCGCGCCAGTTTTCAAAAGAATGAGAATGACCTTCTTCTGGAGGACCACGACCTTTGCCATTTTCTAGAGGAAATCCCAACGGGGATGGTTCAGCCACATTTAGTCGAAGACTCGTAATATCTTTAATTCTAGCGTTGTAGATATTTGCTCAGCGGCCCATTGCTCTTTCCCATACCCCTTTGCCAAATAAAATGCAAAGCAAAGACTTGCACCTAGCCTCCTAGCAGAGTTGAGTTAAAGAGTCCGAAACGGGCCAGTATAACACAACCCTGCATATCAAACGCAAGCAGTGTGATCGAAAAGCATCCGCGGGAGTTGTGCAAATGCATCATTGGTTTCTCTCTCAATTCCTTCTATCTGCCAGCCCAAGCAACACTGACGGCATGGTGCTATTGTTGGAACTGCCAGTGGGACCGAAAGGCAACGAACCTGCCAGGCTGTCAAAACACTGCTTGCTGTAGAATCGTTTAGTGCTTCAGTGCTTCAACTGATCTGCCGCTGTTTGCCTGGGTCTGCCAAAGCAACCAAGCCTGAATGCACTCGCGTGGCTCCAGGAGATTGACCATATTGGCCCTGCAAGCGGGGGTGGGCCAATGCAGTGTGGTAGTGGTACGATGGAAATATAGAACAAAAATATACAAACAGTACCCTTAATGACGGACAAAAAGTCTTCCTCAAAACAAACAGTCTTCATCACCATAATATACATGCCCAGGGATGCTCGGTCAAATGGTTGGATGGCCAGGCTTCTCAGATTCACTTATCATTTTTTGGCAGCGTCTCCCCAAAAAGCCACCGACCCAAACGGGCAAGAATTTACAACTGAACAACACCCATCAGGTTTCATGTCCGGTTCGGGACAGGAATAGACAACACACGCAAAGCCAAAAGAAGCATAACCAAAACACAACGCGCAAATCTCACAAACAGGATCAACCTGGTCAAGCAAATGGCGCAGGATGGGGGTGAGGGAGTTTTGGACTTGCTTGGGTTGATACAGAGTTGGTCAGACCGGGGATTCAACTACAAGTCTAAAACAGCATGGAACGCCGGACGCCGATTTGCAAAGTCAGCACTAAAATGCCGTGATGTTTCGAGTTCCTGGCTTGTTCAACCCCTTCCGGTGGCTTTTTGACCAAGAACACGTCTCGGTTTCAACAACTGTCAGTATGCCAGTGACAAGTATGATGGGAGAGCATCAGTCAGGATAGGGATAGGACCTTGGATAGATCATGAGAGCACTTCTTTTGCATCTGGGAGCCAAGCCACCTGAGTCAACAAAAACAAATCAAGACTGCTGGATTCTTCTGAGCGACCGCCAGCGATGGTCGGTGTCCCATACTCAGAGTAGGCGACCTGAACTGCTGGTTCTGTACAGAGGATGTAACATGATGTAACCCAAAGACAGTAGCTCTGAAGAATGTAGGCATCGCGGACTCGGAGCCAGATAACAAAAAACATCTACAGCAACATTGCAATGTAATGCAATTTAGATCAATTTATAAAGACACATTGCTTCAGATAACATGTTCTTCAAACTCCATGCTTCACAGCTGAGGAAAACACATCATCTGCGGAGGCGCAGCTCCTGAAGCTCCCCCACACAGCACTTCTTCACACACGCTTCTCCTGCCTTCTGTGTCAAAACCGTAGTAGACATGTTGTAGCTTCAGGCAAGTGCTGACAATTCCCTTCATTCCATGCTTAAGCAGCCTGCTACACTCGCAGGGGTTCCTGTTGAGAACCGCCTGATTTGTATTTATATAGTGGGTCTCTTGGGATGTGCCACTGCACGAGTAGCAAAGTGCAAAAGGCATGGTTGCTGGTGATGCTGTGCAGCTGAGGGTGATATCAAGTATTTCGCTCTTCCTTGCAATTGTCAATGAAAACATGTTTGGAAAGAACGCAGGTCGAGGTGCTTGGCATTGCAAGTATGACAGAAAGACAGAAAAAAGGCAGTCAGGCAAAGCAAACGAATAGGTTGCATAAACAAGGTTGAGGACTCTTGGTGGAGATGATGGTCGCTTCATGCTCCAGTTTCTCAAGCAACAACTTCGGGGTGGATGCTCCGACCCCTGCGCGAGAGTGCTGCATAAGATCGACCAACAGTCAACCTACACTGAGCGTATGGCCTTGTGGGCTAGGCGGACCTCGGAATTCCCTCGAGCTTGCCTTGCCTTAGAAATCAAGGCCAACTGCAGGTGGCAAACTGAAACCCAAAATGAAATACTTCCTCGGACAGGAGCACTCAGTGAATGAGCAATGACACGTACAAGTCCACATATAGTTCAAGGCACGGATTGGCAAGCGAGGGGAGTTTCCCGGAGACTGTCAGGGACAAAGCAAGGCAAGCTTTTGCCCAAACAAAGCCACAACAGCACCGCCATGCTTGTACTCTAGAATGAGGATAATGCTGTAGGATCACATGGATGTATAATGATACAAATATAGATATTATATATATATATAAAGCTGCTCTCAAGGCTGGATTTTGACGATGTTTGACGGGTAGATGGCTGAGATGCTGATGCTAGCTCATTTGCCTCAGCCTCATCACCACTTCCAATGCATCCTCTCTGTCGAAGTGACTGGGTCAGGGCCATTTTGGCTCGTCCAAGGCCATCCTGACTTGCAGTGTCGCAAAAGAAAAACAACCGGCTGGCGAAGCAACATGTATAGCTGCATGGCTGATCAGCATTGTGCAAACGCAAAGGCAAAGCCGCTAAGCCATACCAAGTGTCGACAACAAATCTATACGCTTCAGGAAGCCGCGCAGCAGTTGCAAACTCCTGAATTGCTCCCATTTGTGGAAGATTTGCTAAGCTGTGGCTGCTCATGCAACAAACTGCGGGCACTTCTTGTGTAACAAATTTCACAGTACAAGTCTAAGCTTCATGACCCTACAGGCACATTCAATGCAGGAAAGCGACATCAACTTTTCCTTTCACCTTCTCGTTCCTGTTGTAGAAATAGTATAGGGAGCCAGCAGCCCCACCCATCAGGAGAAGGAACATACACGAAACCCTGGCTGGCTGCACCACTCTTTCAAAAACCTACTCTCCACGCACTGCTTCAGGCACATGCCCTTGCATGCGGAAAGGCTAATTCCACAATGCCACACGAATAAGAACCATAGTTCTTTCATGCTCTTTCTGTCAAGCCAGTGAGTTCATCACAAACTGCCAGCTTTTGAATTCAACAAGGCCAGGGTGACGCGGCACTGGCACCATTGCCGTCATTGCCCTGCGTTGTTTCACCATCATGGAGGACAAATACTGGGACGTCAGGGCCATGTGGAGCTTGTGCCTCGTTGTGCGGAGCTACTAGTAGCGATGTCCTTTGTTGCTAGCAGCTTCTTGTTACTAGTGGTAATGCCAGGAGCTACTAGTAGCTTCCTTGTTACTAGTAGGGATGCCCTTCCCCATGCCAAACCCCAAACCTTCACAGCATTTAGAAGCAACCTAGATGCAGCAAGTTGAGCCATGCTCATCTTCTGATACACGTCCTGAATCACAAAACATCGTTGTGAAAATAGAAAGCAACATAGAATGCGTGCCAGCAGAGTGACTGTGGCACAAATTCACACACAGTTCTGTTGAGCAGCTATATATATATATGATGATGATCCAAACCTTTAAAGCGCATCCCTTTAGGAATGAGGGTGGGATATTATACAAATTTAAGAAAAGTTGTTTACAACATGTGTGGGTCCCAAAAATTGCTACATAACATTACAGAATGAATTAGGTTCTGTACTACAAAATGAGTTGTTGCACGGTTTGGCTTCAGAAGTCGTGAAAGAAACATTATCAAACATTGAAAGTTTGACAAAATGTTATGTCAGCCATACCTGATGTGCGCTTCAAAAACAAATTCCTTCTAGACATGGATGGACGTCACCTTGAGATCGAAACAGTCAAAGGTTTGTGTGTTTGTTCCTATAACTCTACACAAATGTTGTCCCACTCCCTCGGTTTGCTGAAGTCTGCCATGGCCAAGACTCTCGAAAAGCCAAGCTACAGAATGGAGGGGGCCAACGGGAGAGCTACGTACAAATGCTTGCAAACAAGAGATCAAAAGTGAAATTGCCAGATGGCGTGGGGTTGTTATTCTGCCCATGGGTTTCATGATCTTCTTGTTTCCTTGTATGTTCCTGTCACACTAGTTGGCAAGTCCCGTCCCAACCATGGGTTGATAAGTCCTCCAACACTAAGACTGTCAAAACGCATAGCAGAAGAAAAAGAAGGTTAACATGCAACCGGTTATTGAGTTTGCATGGGTATGCTGCCTTTGTCCATGTGTTTTTCTAGTCGATATCTTCCCTCAGTCCATATCTGTTCCTGTCAGGCTAGCCTAGAGTCTACAGTCTACATAGACGTCCCAATTATGGGTAGCAAGATTCTGCCAATGCCGAGCCATGTTGGGGCTATGTGGCCCATGTTGGGGCTATGTTGGCCCATCTTGGGGCTATGTTGGCCCAACTTGGACGCTTTTTTGGGCCTATGTTGGGCCATCTTGCGCCGCAAGAGCCGAAAAATGGGACAAACCAAAAACACTGTAAAACGCGGTAGCTTCGGTAGGTCGGCGCATGGTCGGCGGCAGGGCAGCAAGCCCCTCTCTCCTACGGAGAGGAGAGAATGCCTACGGCAAGGACACGGCCTTGGGGCCTCGGGGGCCCCTGGCCGGATATAGTAGTTCCATAATTTTGCCTAATTCATCACTGATTCGAGAACGTCACATTTCTACAAAATGATATTCCAGGGTTCAGAAATCTTGCACGCAAGGCCATGGACCTCCAGAGAATGACCACCTCATTTCTAATCAAATGTCGGTTCTTAAGTAATTATCCCAAGATCCCTTCTATTGGGGAAATGTTAACCAGGATGACAGCGCGAGCTCTGCCGGCTGCATGAAAAAACGCCAGCCACCACCCCCCACTTAGTTGCAGGCAAAGCTCCAACTCCGTGATATGCCAAAAGGCATCACCTGAATTGGAAAGGGCGCCACGTATTCCTACTCTGGAGCAGTTCTAACAGGAACCGTGTCCATTTGAGAAGCAATTGCGCACCCCCTACAATATATGAGTATGTGTCATGTTGAGCAACGCAAAAAAGTGCCTTAGCAGCTGCGAATACCAAAAAGACAGCAGAATACCCATCAACACTACAATTTTGCTGTAGCCCCCCTTTCTTTGACGAGCTGAGACTAGTTAACATCCCTACTGCCCCATTCGCGGCACTTTCAAGCCACACTAGAATATGAGCAATCCCTGAAATTATTGGCTGATATTGGCTGACAAGTAGCTAAAGGCTTGTGGGTTGTTCCGCACATAGTCCTCACAGCTCTGTTTGATCCAGGGGCAATTGGCTTGAAATGTTGACCCTGCATAGTCACCTTGGATACCACGCAAACAGTGATAGAACACATTTCTCGCTCAGGAATTGCCGCCCTTGAGTTGCACTAACACTGGTTCGGCGAAAAGGACCGTCCTTAAGCGTCGGAACCGACCTCAAACATAGCACAATAGTTGTCTCCTACCGGACTCCTACCGCCTCTTTCAGGTCAGGTCACCGCATCACACGTTTAGGAAAGGTCACCTCAAAGATCTCGAAGCACAGGTCACACTGTTGGAGAATTCTGAGCACACCGCGGTGCATACCTGCATACCTTGTACCACTTTTCTCGTCTTCGGCCAGCTACAGTGGAGAAGCGTCTACTTCACGACGAGGACTCCGAAGAACGGGGGAGTCATTAGCGACGTGCTTTTAGCCGGACATCCGCGCGAGGTCCGCACGATTTCGCACCCGCATCCCACGGAGCAACCGAGCACGGCGCAGCCATTGCTGTGCGCAACCCCGAGAGATGCATTTTGCAACGTGGCAAGTCCAAAGCAATCCAGCGCACACCTCACACAGCCATTGCCCCATTGCAATGCTATTTGCAGCCCTCAGTTGAGTTGTCCAATGCATTCAAGATCTCCAGTTCAGAGGCAAAGACTAAACACCATGGGCACCATGGCAAGCGATGGTAAAACTCTGCAAACTCATAGCGACGTCGATGTTCATCACCCAGAATGAAGTGATGGAAGGACTGCAACTCACAGGACGCTTTAGGCTTTGGAGAGAGAGAGAGAGAGAGAAGCAGGAGGCACTTGAGTTCTGAACTGAAAACGTTGCAAACCACCTCACTGAGGGCTGCAGTCTCCTCAGCTCCCGTTTAAGTCGCAGTTTACCAAAAACACGAAGGCCACCGGCCTCCTGGACGAGCAAGCATACGCCAGAAAGTACACAGCGACTGGCGACATGATCGACGTCCGAAGCCAAATCGAGTCGGCTTGCCGCACTCAGCTTTACCACTGTGAGATACAATGACAGAATGCTTCCAGCTGTAGCAACCAATAGCATGTGAATGTCTACTTTGTTGTGTATAATACTGTAATTATGTTCTCACTTGGCCTGACCCCATGTTGGATCATGTTGGTCCAGACAGGCCACCACAAAAGGTGGTGTCGAAGACCATTTTCATATTCTTGAAGTGATCGGCTGTGCACCTTGGCAGCTTCGACAATCGTCGAAATCGTCCATCCATTTGGCTCGGCTTGTGATTCTCATTGTTTTCTCCCATCTTGTCATTGTCTGGTCGACATGGACCGAACATTGACCGAACAGCCGAACAATAACAAAAAAAGCAGCCTTCCCTCCAAGTGCAGCTATTCCCTGTCAATGTCAGCTGTGCCAATGTGGATTTCCAAGGCACCACCGCTTTTCCAGAGTGAAGTATGAATTTGGAGTCCCCCACCTGCCAAACAATAGCCGAGCTTAGCAGCTATTCAACGTGTGCCAAACCTGTTCGAGACATTCTAAGACTCGGCAGAAAACACCAGAACTATCCAGGGTTGTCGTCTAGGTCCATGGGAGTATTGCATGGGCGGGTTCTTTCGTTTCTACCTCGTACTATCAGTGCAATAAGAAGCTATTAGTAACAAGTGCCTTACTAGTAGTAACAAGAAGCTACTAGTGACTAGTAACAAGTGCCTTACTAGTAGTAACAGGTGCCTTACTAGTAGTAACAAGAAGCTACTAGGAACAAGTGCCTTACTACTAGTAACAATAAGTATTTTATTATGCAAATTTTTGTGCAAACAGTCTGTGGTTGCCAAGGAGCAGGTCTGGCTGAGGAGCTTTCGCCACAAGATCAATTGGTTCCTGTCCCTTCGGGAAAAACCAAGTGCGCATCATCTTCGGCTGCTTTGTCTCTGCAAGTTCCTGCCATCCAATCACGACTATTCACTTCAAGGCTACATCTTTGATGAATGAGAAGACGGATTGACTGGAATGAGGTGAGTCTTGTTTGCAACCTTCCTCTCACATCTTTCCAGAATCCTTTTTTCACTTAACCTTCTGAGCTTCTGGCGTGATTTTCCCACTCTGCTACAAAAGTTCCTCCTGACACTCCAACAAATTCAGATCTCGCACAAGCTGGTCGACCATGTGGGGTGGCTCATGGGTAGGTCAAAGCCAACCGGAACATTCTAGCAACGAAACACATTGACACCAAATAAAAGCTGGAGTCAACACCAAGCACAAAGGACATTAAAAGGCCTGCATCTATCTTGTGAGGGCCGGCAGGACTTTGGCTGGTATACTTCCAAAATAGCAAGTTGCAAGCTAAAGGGACTCGCGGTAACTCTATGTCTATGTAAAGTAGGTCGTCATGAGCCAAAATGGGACAAAGCAAGCTGCACATGCATCACGCTTCTTTCTGACCTCCATTCTTGTTGAAGGCTGGTCCGAAAGAGGCTTCAGGCAGCTTCTGGCCACATCCTTGATTGCTGAACTCTTGCGGGGCTTTTACCTGAGGCAGCGGGAATCCAGAGTCCTTCATCTCTCACGGTGTTTCCCATGTCCAGGGAGGAAACGTACGGTAGCTCTCCTTTTTTTGGCCCGCGGCCGGGGTGGGGTGGGCCACTAGAAGAGGTAGTAGCTAGTAGAAGAGGTAGCTAGTAGCTACTAGTACGCTGCTATCTAGGACGCAGGATGGCTCACGCTTTTTCAAGGATAGGTGGCCGGGGGGAGCTTCCTTGAAGAAGCTCTCGCACTAATCATTTGGATCCTGAATTTCTAGGGAAATAGCGGTCAGGAACAAAGCCAGTGTCTCATCCTAAACTCTCCTCGGTGGATTAGCTAGTGCGGGGCATAACCTGGAGGTAGCGTTAAAATTGCATAGACGACGCTCATTGCTTTTTGTTGTGGCCAGTGTCCACCTCACTCACCTGCCATACCATCCTTTGGGACCGTATGGCACTTGACCTTGGGCCATGGGGGTTGGCAAGTCATAATCCTGGAACAGTCGAAGCTACCGCTGTAAGGCTATAAGCCCAATGGTTTCGCCATGTGACCCCATTGGCTCCTATGTGGGAGCTAGTTATTTAGCAGGTAGGTAGTCAAATCGAGGCTGCTACTGCCTGCTGCTGCACTGGCATCCATAATTTGATCTGCCAATCGGCCCTGTAGTGTGGTTTCTGACGGACTGAGCTACAGTTGTCAGTCCCTAGTATTTATTTCATGGTGGCCCCGTGTTCATAATGCTGTTGAGGTTTGCCAAGAAATGCAGAATCCATCTTTCGAACTCCCAATGAAAACTCCCCATTGTACGGACTTTCATTCGCCATCAAATACATGGGTTCGTCTAGAGCAGTAGCAGCACGTTATCGACTGACGTCTTGTCATGAAAAGGGCATAGACAATTCTAATCCTGGCAAGGTGCCCAGCAGTTCTTGGCCTTGTTGGTTCCCAATGAGCCAGTGGCCCAGCCTTGCCCCACAAAATCGATGTTGTTGTTCACTTCACGCCTCGGCAAGGGATGCCTGTCAGAACACCAGGAATTACGAATTTAAGTTGCTGGATGGACTTGTCCTGAGAAAACCGCAAATGCAACGTGTCACTATATCTTCATCTGAGCTTAGAACCCTACAAACAGGACATGTATTCTCTCCTTCAAGTGATAGCTTTGCTATATTATATGTCCCTTGTGACCGGAATCAAGGATAGCAGCATGTGCAACTGGGAATGTCTAGACTACTGCCGCCGCTGAGCAGGGCTTGCCCCTGCATGCCAGTCATTGAACGAATGATCATCTGAATCGTCTACCTGCGCATCTGATTCGGCTACGCTACCTTGTGCTTGAGCCACCCCATTGGAAAACTACCCCATGTCAGCCCAAAGCGTTGCGCAGTGTGCACGCATTTCCTCATGATCTTCAAGGCACTGATCACAGCTTTCCCTTGTGTGAAGCGTAGTGGTGGCCTCACTGCTGAATTAGCGAGTGTAGCTGCTGGGCTGCTAGGGCTTCAATCAAGATGGAAATCGGCAACTCAACTTCTTGACACATCTGATGATCTGGCCCTGTTCAAACCAACAACAATACTCCCGCAAACACCACCACATGGTTTAAGCCAAGCGTGTTGTCTGAATCCCGGCTCATTTGCACCAAGTGTTCGCAGCTCTGGACTAGCTTTCCGATACAAATCCAATTCTTGCAGCCACGGCTCATAGTTCAGCATGTGGATTGACTCCTGGGCACTCTCTACTTTCCAAGTAGTGGTCATAAAGGCTTCAGCATCTTGAGCCAGTTGTCTTGTCAATCGAGTGTTAAGTATCAACACGGTTGTCATTTCAGTCGATCATCACATGGCCACCACGCTGTCACACAAAGCCAAGGTACCAAAATGTCATATTCCCCCCATCGGGGCCACGCATGCTGCGCATCATCGCCAAACATCCAGAAAGCAGGCCATGCACCACAAGCTGTGGGCACGTTGTCAAGGGTCAAGACAAACAGTCCACCGTTGTAGCCTCACAATGTCTGTTTCGAGTCTCTGGCCCTTTACGTCGACAAAGGGGGAAGGTAGGACGCTAAGAAAAGCATAGAAAAGGACAGTGGTAACGGTAGCTCTTAAGTCAATAGCGCGGGGGTTCTTCAAGTAATTAAGCCCCAAGGGGCAGGGCAGAAGCTAGGTTGAAGAGCCCTCACTGTAACGAAATAGTTCCTAGATTTGATTGAGAAATTTGGTCTTTGATATTGCCCCTTGATTACTCATATATGATGACTTCATGTGTTTTCGCTTGTAGACTCGTAGAGTTGACAATGGTGTACCTTTTGTTTTTTCGATCCTTTTTTTTAACTGCATCCGCATGTACCTACAGGGAGGTTCGATGCACTGCATCTTTGCCAACCTTTTTCCGATAGCTGCGCTGGTTTGCATCGGCCTTGATCTTACGCTCATCCCAATCTTCCATGCCAAGGCACTGTTCTTACTCTCAATCCTAACAGCCTTTCGGCCACCTGGCACACGTACACAATTTTGGCGTGTTCATGAAGGTAATCTCCAAACTTCCTTGTATCAATCCTGCTTTTGATATGCATATGAATATGATTCTTACTTGCCAATCAGTGGGAAAGGTAGTGGAAAATCATAAGGCTCAAAGCACAAGCTTAGTCACCGTCGTCTGATCGAGCAACCCTTGAATGGGATATACTTTAATTGTCTCGCAAGTGGAACTGTGGCGACCCTCCGTTGGCAATGAGGTGAAGGCTACAAAGCCAAGAAGTACCAACACAAGAAACAAATCAAGCAATCAAAACAATTGAATCAAAAGGTGGGCCAGGGGATCTTACAAGTTTGTATTTTGCTCTTTCTCCCTCTCTCTGTCTCTCTCGCCTCTCCTTGAGGTGACTCTGGAATGCAAAGGCTGTGCTTTGTTGAAGTTGAATTTAGGGAACCAAATGTGAGAGAGAGAGAGACTGCGGCCTTCTCCAGCGACCACTGAAGTGTTGTCCACTCGCATGACCACCCCAGACTGGCACATAGCACATGAAAGTAATCCGTTCCAAGTAATTACAATATATTAAAATCAAATGTGCTGACAGCTCTAAATACTGTACACTATATGATGTATATCATCGCACTGAAATTTGTCCCGTGATTCATGTGCATCTCGTTCGCACCCTCCCTCGCACTATCAATGATGAACAAACTGGGAGGAGTTGAGGCTACAAAGGGCAGTGAACACATCACGCCTCCGAAGCTGAAAGCAGCTTGTTTTGCCGACCGTCCCACTCCGACACAAATTCTACCTCAGAACTCCATACGGCCATACGTTCCGCCGACTCAACACAGCAGCTTCAGAAAAAAGGACTATGTAACTACCGTGAGCAACTACTCCAAATGTCCAAAAATTACTAAAAAAGGGTGAACTCCTCACCCCCTTGAGCAGCCTTGACCTTCCAAGTGTGGCCCTGCTGTTGGATTGCAACAAAAGGCGGCTCCTCTTGTCATTCCTAGCGGCTGTTCCATGTGTCGGATCTGCGCCGGTGTAGAAGTTCCAATATTTGAAAAAGTCTGGGCCAACATATTGCTCAACTGGATGGTACCTACATTGCAGGCAGAAGCCAGCTCAGTGACTTGGTGTTGGCGTGCTGTCTTGTCTGAGGCACAACACGGCGTCGTTCAATGAATCCGATCTCGACAAAGAGTAATTGAGTTTGGATGAGGCACAATTGAAGAAAGCTGAATGGAACTGTCCTATGTTGAATAATGTCAGGAAGTCCATCTAATCATGAAATCTATCCATGTGGAAGCACCACATGCCCACCTCAAGACTTGTGCGCTGACATAGCCCAGGCTTATGAGTCCTGGAAGGTCACAAGGTTTAAGAATTCTTCATGACCAAAGCCCGACAACTCAGAAAACGTTGCATTCAGCCACTGTTTGGAATCACTGTACCTACAGCAAGTGCCAAATCAAGCCCGAATTGCTCGAGAAGTTCTCAGCATTCCCTCTCCTACCAAAGTGCGAATGAATGCCATTGCTAAAAATCTATTGGACACACAAGGCTTTGCAGCGTCCAACTGGGGCGACCTTTGCCGAGTGTTGGAAGCATGGTGCCGAGCAAAAAATGGCCAAGGCACCAAAGAGAAGAAAAGCAAAGCAGTAGAATGGCACGGCGGGCCTTTGTATGCCATGATTCCTGTCTGCAGATTCTCTCGTGGTGGTTTCTGTCTTTTTCCAATCGGCTTGGATTCAGCTGGCAGCCTTTTTCCTGGTACAGTAGTGTCATGTGGTCTCTTATGGGTCCACCATGTCCTCTCTTAGGACCATAAAGTCTGTAACTGCAGCTTGCCGGTGCAAACCCCTTTGTTCCTAGTAGCGAATATTGCTCCTAGTAGTGCGGCCAGGAGCCCCTAGTAGCGTTCTTGCTCCTAGTAGCGATGCCCTTTGCTCCTAGTAGCATCTTAGTCCAAGCAACTCGCGCCTAAATCCAATTTGATTGACAACTATCGCCTGCTGCTGTGTTTGCTTCGCGCAGACTCTGGACCCAAGGCACTGAGCCCTCTCTCAGCAACGCCTGAAAAGCATGTACGTACATATGACGATATCTGGCGTATGTCTGCGCATCCATGGTCACATATATCAAAGAGGGTGGGTGTGCTTGGGAGAGCACACACTAGCTCAAAACCCTTAGAAAACACTGCAAATACCGTGCAAAATTTCAAAAACTGCTCTGAGAACTAGGCGAAACGCAAGTTTTTTGATCTTTTTGTGCCCAGTCTCCATGTCCAATGTCAATGACAACAAATAACAGCTCTTCGTCTGCCCACTATCAATGTGCAACACCAATGATAAATATTATCAGGTAAATCTCTCTCTGCCCACAATGAATGTAGCATCATGAGCGAATGAAGATGTAATACTATACATCTCTAGATTTAAATAGCTTTCCTCTGGATCTCTGGGAAAGTAGATTTCCTAGATTTTTGTATTTTCATTGAAGGAAAGCTGTTGAAAGAAACACTTACATACATACTTATAGCTTTTTGAAAATACAATGACTAGACCCAGAGATCCAGAGGAAAGCTGTTGAAATGAAAGCTTTAAATTTTTTTCACAGAAGTGATCAGATCTAGAGGGAACCTTTTGAATTAGAAGCTTGTACATAAAGCAGTTTTAATATGTTTTAATATAGCAATGATTATTCCAAGGGATTACGTTAAACAAATACTATCTACTCAAAAACATAGCTTTTGTCTTATTCCCAGCACTCCTAGGGCAAAAACACACTGCAAAATATAGGGTTTTGTAACATGTATTTTCTTAACCAACTAAACTAGAATTAAAATAGAATTAGGTAAACTTAAATTAGAATATGTCAATCAAGATCCTTTTAACATTGATTGTGGAAATTGCTATTTATTAGATATTAGATTGCAATGAAAATCCTTTCCAAATGTTCTTTAAAACTCATTGTGGAAACTAGTTCTTACACTTAGATTTTAGTTAAAGTCCTTTTCAATTTTAGTGGTGGCTTTTATTTAATATCAGATTGTGTTTACCCTCTGACTCACTAACTTGGAAGTGGACAATGGCCCCTTGCAAGACTACTTTCCTTTACAAACAGGGTGTTTTCCACTTCCATGTTAGTGAGTCGGAGTGTAAAATCGATTTAAGATTACTGTAATTGTGGAAATTGTGATGCTTAACTAACTTGAATTGATGTTGTATCTGTTTGCTCCCCACTACAAGGCAACATCACATAAAAGGACTTTAACTAACATCTAATTATAACAATTGATTTCCACCATTAACTGTTAACTGAAAATTAATGTCCACAATCAATTCCAAAAGGCTCTTGATTGATATCCAATACACAAGCAATTCAAGCAAATTATGTTGAAAAGAAATTAGATTAAAATCTAAACAACAAGCAATTTCCACAATGATTTTGAAAAGGACTTTAATTGACATTTAAGTAATGACTAATTTCTACAATGAAATACAATAGGATTTTAATTGAAATCTAATTCAAAATCAATTGCCACAATGATCTTGAAAAGGAATTTAATCGAAGGTGAATTACACATTCATTTTTCTATAATTAATCCTGAAGAAATGTTTATTGAAATCTATATAATATAAAAATCAATTTCCCCAAGGATTTTGAAAATGATATACATGAAACTTAGTTTGTAAAGAATCCACAATTAATCTTAAACACAGGTTAAATAGAAAGCTAATGAGAAATCAACTTCCGCCAATAATTCTGAAAGCGTTTTAATTGAAGTCCAATATTGAAATCCAATTTAAAATCAAATTCCACCGTTAAACGTAAATGGAGCAAAAACACTGTGTTTTACAGTGATTTTTGGCTAAAGCCTCTCCAAAATTAAGGTTTTGAGCTATTTTTTGATCAATCTTGTGAGATCCAAGCCTATCCCAGTTTAGAGAGAATACTAAAAAACCAAGAAACCAAGAAACCAAAAAAACAATAAACAAAAACAACAAAAAATGTTTGAGACAAAATGGGGGCACTATTATGTTGGCCGCATTTTGTCTCAAACATCAAACATTGTTAAGTTTTTTTGTTTATTGGTATTCCCTCTAAACTGGGATAGGCTTGGATCTCACAAAATTGATCAAAAAATAGCTCAAAACCTCAATTTTGGAGAGGATTTTGCAAGAAATCACGGTAAAACACTGTTTTTGCATCATTTTTTGCATGAAAAACATCTCCTAGGAGCACCGGTTCTGATATCAAACCGCCCTCAAACTCACAATCCTCAACAACAAAAGGATTTCCTCCTCTGCAGCCGTGCAGTGCCAATAAGAGAGAGAGAGAGAGAGCAAAATGACATGAGTAGTAGAAGGGATGCAGCGAAAACAATACAAAAACATGTGGAAACACTCTAGCCCACAAGCGTGTGACAATGATTGTTGGTCACAACTCAAACAACCAATGCTTCTACACCAGGCATCCAGCCGGGTTAAGGCTTCTTGCCACTCTTCGCATCCCACCACCTGCTAGTTGGAGCATACAAACGATACAAGTCACTGTTCTGAAGTAAAAGTGCATAACGTATATAACAAAAAAATATTTATATAGGGTATGCACACATCTGCCAATGAGCTAGCAAACGAGTGCTTCTGAATGGGCTTTCCACTGATCCCGAGGTGTAGGTGGAGCGTTCGGAACTCCGGTCAGCTCAAAAGTACCTGAACCAGAAATGCTTTCGTGAAAGGATTGAGAGAAGGAGACAAGGGGATGTGTCTGTGTTCTGTGCCCAGATATTACACACCAAGATTCCTGTAACCAAATATGCCTGACCCATGTCAACTCTAATGTACTTGGGGAATAGAACCATCTCCCTCACCAAAAGAAGCGAAAAGCGACATCAAGTGTTGCTCGTTAGGCTGGCAAGTTCCTTGCGTTGGGCTGTAAGTGTGATTGCGTGAGGTGTTGGCAGCCTCTAGATGCTTTGGGGTTGAAGATGGCATCGAGGACTGCGAGGCCTACATCGTCACCTCAGCTGTCCGGCACCGCTTGGACGGTGGGGTGAAGCAGTGGCCATTGTGACATGATGTCATGGTGCTGGGTCCAACACATCATAACAATGTAGGTTGGAGGCCATAACTACTATGAACATTGGTCATCGATTTCACTGGAAAATCCGTTCTGCCAGGTCCGGACGGCTGATCTTCTTGCCAACATCTCCATCCTGGAGGAGTAGCCTGAGCCACCATGCCGGCAGTTTCAATTGTCATTCTAGCGCAAGCACACCAAAACAGTGCCCACAATGAGCAGAAAGGTGATGATATGTGATATGTGTATATATGATATACTGTTACATAGGATTATCATAGGATGTCTGTAAGCCCTTCCACAACCTGGATCCAACCGAAGGAAAAGGACCACACAAAAACATAGGAGAACTGAAAATCCTATCCGTAACATCCGTACCTATTCGTTTGTTCTTTCTTGCGCCACAGGTGTGCTCGCTAACCGGCACTGACGCAAAGCTCTAAAATCTGACGACCATAAATCACCTCAAGCACGACAGCAACTTGGCTGGCGATGGCTTGGCGCCCGTACGAGTCCGGCTTCGCGAAATAGATACCACCCACCTAAGGCACAGGGTAGTCGGATAGAATGACCAGATCAACACCTGCTTGCACCACGCCTGGTGTGTTCTCATGCCTCAAGGACTCCCTCAGGACTAAGGCTTCGCAACACCTTCCCAAAAATAAGACCTATACGCAGTAATTAGGCTCCGTGACTAGTGAACCAGCTGCTGAACATTCTCCGCAGCTGCTGAAAAACAAACGCTTGCGGCCCTGCGGCCCCCACAAGCGTTTAGTTTACTCTTTCTGAGTGATGTCCAAGCGGTTCAAACACTGCATTCCGCTGAATACTGTGGATGTCGCCTAACTCTGCGCCATGAATGAGTCCGATACGGCACAATACGTTGATTCCTCTCGAATCTATAAAGAAGTGAAATGGCATTGTCCGTCTAGTCTGGCAGCTCACGACCGTGTGGCTTGCGTGGCCAAGCTACATCCTTCGGAAAGTCATTGGTCATTGGCACCTGAGAAGAGAAGCCAGCTACATGAGTACGATGATAGTGGTGCATGCGACCTCTGAAGGGCCGGTAAGTGTGAAAATCATTTGTGTTATCTACGGACTCAGGCATGTATATGTTTATAGCGGAGTCCAAAAATCTGAAGCAATTGCTTTTCATGAAGTTGCTCAAAAAATTCAGTCCTTCCGGTGAAATTAAAGGTCTCCATGTATGTGCGAACTCAGGACTTCTGAATTCTGCTCTGGGTGACGCAGCTGGAAGAATCTCAGCCGCGAACTGGCCGAATGATTGTGTAGTCCAACCCAGACCTGCAAACCATCGTAAAATCGTCCATGCAATGCAAGGCAGCAAAAAAATCAACGACCTGACCTGCCAGCAAAACCTTGCTGCAGCAAAGATCTACATTAGAGCTCCGAGAGCGCAACTTTTTGATGTACTCCTCCGCCTCCAGCTTCTTCTCCAAGACGTTCCCGTAACTCGAACAGTCCCACAAGCTGATGCATCTTGCAAACATGCCAGCTTTCATGAGAATGTGCCTACCTGCACGCTTGTCACAGTGTCACAGGCAGGCAAAAATCCACATAAGGCTTTAAGGGCAAAAGTTCCAACACAATTATATATATATATATTCTATATACACGTGGAACATGAAAACCGCTGAAGTATCACTCGAGACGGCATCAGCATCGTACAACTACAACAGAATCATACCTGCTTGAGCAAGCCCACAAAACCCAAGCCTGTTCCAGTTCTTGTAGGGATCACTCTGCGCAACTTCATCCTTGCCCAGTGTCCAAACAAAAGTGATCAAACATGTTAGAACGAATACAAGAGCAAATGATACATCGTTACATCGATTGCACTACAAACATCTACAAACAACAACATGCACTACCCAAGCTCTTCTCTCTCAGAATTTGATCGATCAATGGCTCAAATGTATTCGAAGACTTTGTTAGCATGATGCAATGTATTGGTGAGTCGGAGTTCTGCCGCAGTACGCCTCCCAATCTGACACGCTTGCTGCCAAGCAGGTCACCCGAGGCCCGAACCCCCAAGTTTTTGGCATTGACCAAGACCGCAGACCTGGACACCCAATGCGAGTCTATCCAATCCTCTCCATGCTGCTCTATCTGGCGATGTCTCTCTCAAGGCTCACTCCAAGATTTGTTTGCCATTGCATAAAGCATTTGCAGGCGACATCATCTGGGGTAGCCAACACATAGATGAACTTCTTCACACCTTCCAGGCAGCATCATACAGAGGTGAGGGTGCAATCCAACCCAGGCATACCACGCCATCCACCGTACATGTTCTTTTTCTTGTCCTGCATTGCGCTCAGCCTGTGCTTTGGCAAGCGCCCATGAACTGGAAGTTTGGGCGTCTCTTTCAGAGGTCTGGAGGTCGAACAACAACATGAGCAAACTTCCAGCGCGGCCAATGTGCGTCTCAAATCTCAAATGATCGCACTTGAAAGTCTACTTCAGGATTTCAGTGTCCCAAGGGCCAGTGTTGGACTGACTTGGCCACTGATCCAACCAGGTCGTGCCAGGTAAGACAGAAGATTGGAACTCTGTTGTCAAGTCAGACTCTGAGCTCTACAAGTTCCAGCCACCTGTTCCAAAAGTCCTGGCTTTGCCATCAGGATTTTGTCAGGTTCACTGTCAAAAGCTTGCAAATGAGGGAAGGCCATGCTCTGCATGTTCCTATGTGCACACTGATGCTCTGAGGCGTGAGAAGTTGCTAGAATGTTGATAACCTTCACTTCGACAAGGATGTGTATCCAACAAGGGGCCATCTAAGCTGCTGGTTCAATTTGCCTTGCAAGTCAAGCGCTTGCATGCTGAAGTTCTATATGAAAAAGCAGCGGCGATTGCTGCAGTTCAATACAAGCACGTCAAATTTGCTACATCGGTTTCAGAGCCCACCCTCTTTGGTAGTGCATACTGTAAGGCCTTTCCCCCAGCCGTCACGTTGTCTCAGTGTGCTCTCAGTGCCGTGCAACCTCATGGCGCTTTCTTCGAACCTGGGCAGCAAAGAACGAAGGTCAGCTATTGAATAGATCCCCTGTGAATTAGGGTGTTGCGCATGAGCAAGCCATATCGAAGAAAATCAAGACCCTCTAAAACCTGGGTTCTTGTAGCATCCCAGAACATCTTCCCACATGTTACTCTGCAGAAGGACCTGCCTCATCACGCCTGATTGTTCACGTGTTTCAATCTGATTCAATAAACGACATCACACTGCGTAGAAGAAATTTACAGGGGTATCAACTATGTCAGATTTAAAGTACAGGCCTTCTTGCATAAATTTTCTAGCACCTCTCCAGCAGGGATCGGCTACTGATCAGTTGAATCAAGATCGCCCTTGACCTTTAGCTCTGTCGTGACAAGCGAGCGGCCCACAAGAGCAATGGTCTTTATAGCCACCCCTTGACTGGAGTCTTTCATTCAAGTGGCTGTCTCATAGTTTGGAAACGGCGGTGGTGGCACCAAAGGCTCAATTCGCCCTGGCCGCGTAAGCGCGGTCTCATTTGTGAGCTCAAGACTCGCGAAGCTTGTGTGGCTTTTGTCTCTACCTGAGAAAACAGCTTTGGGTAAAGTGTCTCAGGCCCCCCACGACCAGCAGCTACAACCAGCAGCGGCCGCTCCAGTGCAGTCAAATCCCGGGTTGGATCCCCAGCCTAAGCACAACAAGAAATTTTGCGCTGGCAAAGCCACAGTTGCTCGACGCCAAATAATCTGGAATGTATACATATTTAAAATAAGCTATGGTATTACAAATGTCTGTCAATTATGATATCAAAGTGGGGCATGCTGACCCACTACTCACTACTCGAGAACATGAAGAAGCACTTGGTGCCCAGCCGAGGGGAATCTCAGAAGGTACACCCGACGACTTGAACAACGAATCGAAGAAAATTAGTTGCAGCTGCATGGCTGCATTGTCCTCATTTATGTTACTCATCCTCCTGAAGCATTTTCTAACAAACCAATGCTTCCCTTCTGTCTTGGCTGCCAGACGACTAGCAGCAAATCTGCAGAGAGGCCTTCAGCCAAACGCCCGCACCTTACTGTTCATGGCCCCATCAAGGTGAGTGTTGGTACCTCTTTATGGCAATGAATGGTTACTTGACTCACATGATTTCTATTGATTTCTGAACAAAGGGCCCGGCAACACCGAGGGCAATACGGCTAGATGAGCACGAGCACTGAGCACTGGGTGAATGTGCTGCTGCCCAGGCACTCACTGCCAACACCCAGGCACTCAGCGCTTGCACTGGTTGCTGCGCGCAGCGCATCAACTGGCTTCATCCTGGATGTAGACATCTGTGCACTGTGTACGCTGGATATCCCCTCGCCATTGCCCACCACAAAACCCCGCTTGTGTATTCCTCCCGAACTAGCTCGCACTTCAACAAAATCAGAGTGTAGCACCGTTGCCGCACTGCCATGCAGGTGCATGATGATTTGGTGCTCGGCTGCTCGGCATCTCAAACATCACAGCGAAGCATGCATCCAAGCCCTCTGGGATTGAAGCAAGCACAAGCAAGTGGCAAGTGAAGCCAAAACAGCAAACATGAGGGATTGCGCAAAAACAAGCGTTTGTTGGTTTTGCCCTTGAAAAACACCAGCTCCTGGCCATGCTCGCCAGCACCTGAATGCCTCCAGCCAAAGCATCGTGCGAAAGTCCTGCACTGGGCGCAGGAAACCGTCAAGTGTCGGCGGAACTTGAGACTTTGAAGGCCTTTTCAAGTGAGACATCCTGCCCTGCATATCATATGGTCTGCAGGTGTCCTATGTTTGTCCGTGCGTCTCGTGCAAAGTAGTGTGAAGGGAGTGCTTCATTGAATGACAGGTTTTGGGAGGTCTGCAACCATGTCAATCTTGTCCGGCCTGGGATGGCGCCAGCGTCAGAGGAAGCCAGTAATTGCACACCGGTGGAGCGCAATTGCTGCAGTGCCACGCAAAGGCCTCCAAAACACCACATGTTGCATCATGGTGCCGTGCAAGGAGCCATGCAAGGATGCAGTGGTAATCTGCAATATGTCGCAAAACATTCACGGATTGGCATGTACTATCCGAGGATGACCATTTTTCGAACAGCTAGAATGTGCATGATGGGGAAAGAATAATTACACAATATATATATATATAGAATATAATAGATATTAGATGACATTAGAATACCTTAGATTCGATACATCGCTGCCAGGCTATAGATGCAGATGCTTTTTTGCGTCTCTATCCTTGTAAGACCTCGTAAGTGCCTATGTGTCTTGGACCCTCCATACTGCAGAATATGATCCACTCCCAAGACTCCCAAGCCAGGGTTCGTTCATAGTTCCGCTCGCCCATAGGTTTCCGTCGCCAATTTGCATGTGCCGTGGGCGCCACTGCTATGCCCTGGCGGGCCATCTCCTGCCATGGTTCGACCAGTTTCCAACCGGCTTATACAAACAGTTACCGATAGTTACAGTATGTTACAGTATTGAATTGTCTGTTTGGGCGGCACCAGGTCACCTTCCAGACTTAGCATGGGTGAATCTTCCCCCAAGGCGGCCTTGCACGGGAATGGCCCGCCAACCGGCCATCTCCTTGATAGTCGTGTCATCGACACAACCCCACTGGCCAGCTTTGGCAATCCAGGTGCAGTGCTCCACAGTCCGGCATCCAGCCTGATGCGGTTCGAGCACACCTTCGAGTGAACAGCCTGGACCAACCTGGAGAAGCACAATGCAAATCGTCTCCACAATGACCACCTTTTGTGTCCAAATCATTTGCCAACTCTGCCTGCACGGCCGCAATAACTCCTGCAGCACCATGGGCGTGGGCTGCCACCGGCCGTTTGCTGGCTGATGCTTTTTGGACCACCTCAGCAAAGGACAAAGGACGCAAATGGATGTGCTATGAGCATGTCAAAATATATATATATATATAATCGGGGTTGGTATTAAGTGGGTACCTCGGGGGGTGCGATTTTATAGTGCTAAAATGCTGGGACCAACCCCCCTCCAATGAGGGTCACTTTTTGACCCTATAACATTGAGGATAACATAGGAAAAGAGCCCAAATACAAAGATTCAGCTCTATAGAATTGAGGGCCATTAGTCTGTCAAAAGCTGTTGAAAGTTGTGATATTGAGGGTTTTTGTCTATAAAACTGCAGGTCCCAAGGTACTCCCGAACAGGTGTTGTCGAGTTGTAGTCTGAACCTGGTTCTCTGTAGAATCAAGGGCCATGGGTCTCAAAAATATCTATTAAAAACCTGTTTCTGTATAGAATCAAGGTCCATGGGTCTCAACAAAACTTAAAATTCCAATTTCATTGGAAGGTATTGATTTGCCAGTTGGTAGGACCACAAATCTATAGAGAAGACAGCAGGTGTTATGGAGAGGATTGGAGAGGTAAGGATCTGTGATGATCTCTGATTTTATAGTGTCCAGATGTGTCCAAATGCTGTCGCCAAATCATCCACTTCTCCCCTTTCCCAAGTCATCCCAAGCCGTCCAGAGGCTGCAAATGCCTGCAAATTGTTTTCCATTCCCCAGGGTTCTTTTGAGCAATCCCAATTGGAATCAAGCCAAGAAAAAGCAATCTCTATAGAATTGCAGGTCATGACATCGAAAATCATACAAATCATTCTCTATAGAATCGGTATGCCCAAGACATCCAAAATCCCTTCACTCTACTTACAAGCCTCTATAGAATCAAGCTTGTAAAAAACAACAATTCTCTATAAAATCGAGGCTCTTGAAGGACAGGACTTTACAAGCTCCATATGAGCCAAGAAAAAGTTGCTAAAAAAATGGTCTTATCGGGGACCCAACCCCCGCGATTCGAGAGGAAATTCCATCCCCTATTATATATATATATATCATTTGTAGGTAAAACAAAACATGTAACGTAATATATACAATGTACGTCAGTGAGTGTGTGCGTGTGTGCGGGCCAGCCTAAGTCACACATGTCTGTTGTGTTTGCATGTGTTTGCTTTAAGTTTCTGTCCCTTGTTATTGGAATGGCATGGCCAGCACGCACATGAAATGAATAAGGCACAGCCCAGAGGCCTCCGATAGAAAGTCAGAGCTGAATGCCGCTTCCTGGGTGAGATGGAAGCCGCAGTCACCCTATAGCTCACGCATGCAAAGAGCGAGCGAGAGCGAGTTGTAGTGTGCTACTCTGTCATACGGGCAACTTCCGCACATCAGAAGTCGTGGGGAGCTTGTTAGGCAGCAGCATGTTTCAAGAAGAGGTGCTCAAGCCGTAACGAGCCCGGAAAACAAAACAATGAAATGGAGTTGCTGGGGTTAATTGTGAGACTGACTCTTGCATGCTGGAGGTCACCACCAGCTCTAACATGCTATCACGTGAGTTCCCCGAGTGCCAGTTGTTATGCCAGCAATCAATCTTCCCACCTCTACATTGGTACCAGGCGTGCGCATGCCACCAGTGGCCATGACCTTGATCCAATCTGCGCCATGGAGCACCTCCCGGCACTCAAGTGGAATGGGAACATCCATTAATGGCAAGAATGGAATAGGCACGGAACGTAGAATCTTTACGTCTTGGCACCGATTGAATACAGTTTAAGAATGTTTAGTTAGGATGGTCTGAGGTTGGTCGCGTTTCCAACTGCGATCAACTGCGCCTGTCTCTCAACCACGGCAAAAGCTTCTTCCAGTGATCCTGCCTTGCAAATCGGTCAATCTTCAGCACAATATCGAATTTTGGCGAGGCTTCGCTTCAAATTGCCACCTCTTTATAAGAAGAAACCTCTTTGCTGAAGGGCCTTCGCTTGGGACTTCTATCTGATTCTATCGCATCCATCCCCGTCCTCTCCGCCCCACTGGTGGCAATGACCCTTAGGCGTCGTCAAGGGCTGCCCAGCACAAAGGAGCCGCGGCCCAAAACGGCGCTTCTGGCGGATCTCGTCCCGCAAGCCTCACTGCCGTAACGAAAATGGCCAAGGGCCTGTTAGAAATTGTTTTGAAGAACAACTGCTGGCCATTCCCCTATGTGACCACACCGCATGCCATTGCATGCGATACAGGTCCAAGATTCTCAAGGCTGCAAAATTTCGGCCACCAAGATCTCGAGCAGTGGTGATCCTGAGTGAGGCAGCGCTTGCTACCCCAAAGAAACCAAATCTGCCCCTCCGTGCAGAAACGCAGCGAGGCTAATGACAGGAGAATTACCATCAACAATCCAACGCCCGCTTATTCTTCAAAGCCTTCGGATATCACAAAAGCATTCGAATGCAAGAACGTGAGTCCCACAACGCACCATACGAAGGGCTCGCTCAGCCATTGATTCCATCAGCTCAGACGTGGTGAGGAAAGGTTGATTGTGCAATGGGAAGTGCTCGCTGAACTCAATGTGAACCTAAGCGTACAGAACGCCACACCAACAGACCCACATGCACTGATTCCAGATTCTAAATGTCTTTGCCAGTGTTTTGTAGTTTCGCGCTGTGTGATGGCGAGGCCCCACAACACCAACAGTGAAAGCGCTGAAATTAGACATGAAAGCCGCGTAGTTGTAAGATGATGTGTGTGACAAAGTTTGCTGCTAAGGAGGTGCTTCTGGCAAAATGCTGAAGCGATCCAAAGAGCATGTGCGTCAATGAGGCCTGGCATGAGGCACCCGGAGTGGTGCTCCACAACAAGCCCTGCTTCAGTCGCATCCTGCACTGGGCAAACGGCCAAGATCCTCCCCTCACGGATGACGACGCAGTGCCTTGGCTGTTGAATGACATTGCCCTCGATCAACGACATTGCCTTTTCCACCAACCACTGAAACTCGACATATAATTGAGATATAAGAGAGATCCCTTGACTGATCAATTCTGATATATTACATAAATATATATATATA